AATTAAATGCCAGTTTTCCCTGAAACGAAAAGAAGAGGGAACCCATAGGATGAATTACGGAATTGATTGGGAAGCAGAACAGCGTCAGACCCTTCTAGATGGTCGAGCTTCATTGGACAGATCAACACAATCTGTAGCTCGATCTCAATTGGTGGCTGCAGAGACAGAACAAATTGGTAGAGAAGTCATCAATGAATTGGGGGAGCAAAGAGAAACGTTGGTTCGTGCCAAGCGGAGACTCTCCGATACTGATCAAGAGCTGAACAACTCTCGGAAGATCATGAGACTCATTACCAGAGGAGTACTCACTAATAAAATTGCTCTCATCTTGATAATTATTCTAGAAGGAGCTATTCTCGCTTTGACTGTGTATTTGAAATTTTTCTCTAAGAAATGAATATTCCCGACTACATTGCATTTACAAAAATATTAAATCATTAAATGAAGAAGAAATATCTTCGAAATGAGCCATTTTTAGTATTATACGCCTTGAACCTTACAACGGATTTCCTGTTGTTTACATCCATCTGAAAGGAGTTGTTTTTTCACGTCCTTCATTTATTCCGTAATTTATAATTTCTTGATAATGGATTTTAAAAACGGGGTTATATAGCCAGGTATAGTTAGTAAATTATATTAAAACACTTCGACTCAATTTAAAATAATGAGAAATATTAATAGAACAAATTTTATCTCAAGATCTGTAAACTGAACGTTATATATGTACAAAGTTTATTCCTTCTATTTAAACATTTTTATAAAATGCTAATATGCGTTTAAACACTTCAGGATTGTAGCCTTCAAACACTGGTCTTGCATTTTCATACTTGGCTTTTTCGAATAGACTCATCTGCGGTGACGACCACCAGTAATTCATTTTTCCCTCTGTACCCTCGATGTTTAAAGTGTTCAATTGAAATACTGAGAAATGATAATTTTGCACGTTTACTTGAACACATTGAACTGTCAACGGTTCTGGCAAATCTTCGATGGTGTCTCCGTATTTTTGTCTCGCATAAGTCGCGGCTGTTGCGAATGATTCAATTAGAGATCTTGCCAATAGTTGATCCTCTTTTACGGCTATTTCCGTCAGATTTTTCACTGTCTCAGGGTCGTGGTAGATGAAAATTGTGTGAGGAGTGGCCCAAGGGGATGTTTTAGCCACAGCTAAATGAAGAATCAAGCAAAGAAGTCATTAACAAATTAAATCTAGTTAAGAGTAGAAAAGAAAATTATTTACGAGGAAGATCTCTTTTGTACAGAAAATACTCTATCGACCTTTTGGACGAGACAATTGATAAAAGTATTTTACTACTTACGATACAGCGATTTTAAGTTGTAAAAGTGATAGGCTCGTAAGCCAGCTGTTGATACGAGAGGATAAAGCTCTGGGAGAGATTTATCTGCTGCGTCTTGGGGAGAACCCATCGGTTTTAAGGGAATTTTTGACGTCATAAGTAAATCTATTTTCGTTGAGAATTTGACAAGGTCTCCGTCTTTAACTATAAATAAAAATGGAAAAGCATTGAGTAAAAATCCTAATAGGGATACAATTTTTTAAATTGTGTCTTTACCGAACGGCACTTGCACTAATTCGTCATGAATGATCTGTCGCTGCTGCATCATGTCAAGTCCACACAGAGACTCACAAAGTTGGAGCATTTTTTCGGTTAAATTTCGACTAAAAAAAATCCCCATTAATAGTCTGTAATTTAATTCCTAAGAATTAATGGAGAATTTTTAATTGTAACAAAGTTCTTACGATTTCCTTATGTCTGGGATTCCATATTCTCTTGTGTAATTCCAAGCAGGTCGTTCAGGATCTTTTCTTTTGGGTAATTTTTCTTGATGTGCGTCGAAAATAGTCGATGAACAAATAATCCTGAAAATTCCATTTAAATGATAATTGTTGATAATTTATTTAACAAACGTTTAAAATTTCTAGATTAATGACCACTGAGTACCACTGAATAGAGACGAATAATGCATAGAAGGAAAATGGGAATTACGGAATTTCATTTCGTCTCCATTTTTCCAATTTTTTTATTAATAAAAATTTGATTTTAATTACCGTTGAATGATTTCATCGACTAGTTCACTGGAATCCTCCAGTGAGTTCTCAATTTTCTCTGGCAATGAGTCTTTAATTACCAGAGATTTGGTGAGCACCTGAGCCTGTGC